CGGTCTCTCGGGTTAACGAACTCGTCGCACTCGATATATTGGGGCCCTTCCCTGCGACCCCTAGGGGTAACAAGTACCTGCTGGTTGGCGTGGAATATTTCACCCGATGGCCTATGGCATGGCCTCTTGCTAACCAGTCAGCAGCAGCCGTTGCCGAGGCCTTTGTCCAGGGCTATGTCCTCGACAAGGGTGCTCCCGAACGGCTGCTGACTGACCAAGGGAAGAACTTCTCTGGCGTCCTTCTGCACGAGGTGTGTGCGCTTCTTGGTACGAAAAAGATTCGCACTTCCCCCTATCACCCACAAACCGATGGCATGGTGGAGCGGCTGCATAGGACGCTCACATCTATGTTGTGTCACCAGGTGTGTGACTCCCAGACCGATTGGGACCTTCACATTCCGGGGGTTTTGGCCGCCTATAGAATGGCTCCTCACGCGGCAACCGGCTTCTCGCCGTTCTTTTTGATGTACGGTCGCGACGTTGACCCACCAATTGCGAATCAGCTCCGCGTCTCGGAAACCAAGAGAAAATCGAAATTGGCCGACCACGTTAAATTTAATATCCTGAGGTTGACCGAGGCGCGGGAGGCAGCGGCCCAAAACTCTTCCTCTCGGCAGAAGGCCAACGAGAGGTTGCGATCGCGCCAATCACGCACACATGCGTGGAAGCCAGGCGATCAAGCCTGGCTGCACTGCCCTCAGGTGCCGTTGGCGACCTCGGCGAAATTGTTGCGGCCTTGGAGGGGCCCTGTGGTTATTGTGAAGGTTATGCGGCCGCAGTGCGTTCGTATCCAGTGGGGGAAACGCCGCTGGTACGTACACCCCTCGCGTCTGAAGCCGTTTGTGGCGCCGCGCGTCCCTCCACCACATTACACAGGCCGAGCATGTGATGTCTCCGCTGACTCCCGGACGGCGTCTTCGTCACCTGCCCTTGATGCTTCGCTAACTGTTCCACCTTCAGGCGCCTCAAGAATGACGGCTTCCAGCGCGCCTGCGCCACCCGGTGGGGACGGAGTTTGCCCTTCCGGGGTGACGGAAGACGGTGCACCTGCACAGCCGGTGCCCACTGCCGGGCTGACCGGACCCTCCCCCTACGATGGACCCGCAAATCGGACTCGCGCCAAAATGCGCCGCTTGTTGTAAAAATGGTTCTTGTTACTCTTGTTGTTCACTGTTAAGTTTTCTTGCTGCGTTGATGGGGGGGGCGGGTACAATGTATATGTGTATATAGTGTAATTTTGTATAGGTGGGTTGGGTTATTTATTGGGGTGTTCGTTCTTATGAGGCACGCACGGGTGGGGGTTTGTTGTGTTTATTGTTCGAGTATTGTTGCAGCCGGGACGGCTGCGGGTTACACGGGAGGGGGTGATGTAGGGGTGCTATGGGGAATAAACACATGGCACGGGAAGGTGTGGTTCACCCACACCTTGGTGGCTACAACAACGTCCGCTAAGGCTCCAGTGGGTATAAAGTGCGGGGAGCCAGGGAGCTCGGGGCAGAGTGTGGGGCCCGAGGCTGAAGCAACCAGTGAAGAAAGAAGGCCAGCTAGGTGAGACCCTGGAACTCCTGTGACCGCTGCCCTTTTCAGGGCCGGCACAGCAAGCCAGTGGTGCGGCCCCAGAGCCCCAGAGTCAGAGTCCTTCTAAGGGCCGGTCTGGTCGGCGGGGTGCCGAGATCTGTGCCTAACCAGGGCCGGATCTGATAGCCTCCCTTAGAGCCCTACCAGGAGGAACTGGGAGCCTAGAGCTTAGGCTAGAGAGCCTGGGGTGTGTTCCTGAGTTATACGGGTGGAGGGGCCGCTACCCCTTCTAGTGTAACCCTTGTTAAGGTTTAAATAAATAGTGCTGCTTCTATTCTGCCGTCTCCGTGTCCTGGAACCCACTACACATGTGTAAAAGTGCATAGGGGCCATCCATTTAGTACGTATGCAAAAATCTGTCAAAACTTGACCCCTCACCCCTTCCCTGTAGGCACGCGTACTTGTTATACCCACCTGCGTACATACGCCTGACGCATCCCGCCCCCCCCCCCCCGCCCCCCACCCCCGAATGCTATAGAACGGCCAATATTGAATCCACGCAGAAACGATCAAGGATTAATAATATTAACGTGTTTAAGCAAACAGATAGTCTACTGCCGGACTATCTTCCTCATTTGAAGGCCAATGTAGACAAATTATTATCGAGGCTTCACCCCCCCCCACCCCGTTTCCTATGCGTACATTGTCAGTAGACCCCCCATACGCAAGCGTACGCATTTGGGTAAACCCCCCCTCCCCCCTCCATGCGTACGTACTCAATGGATGACCCCATAGCTCCAGTGGCTTCCTAATATCGGAAGGAAGAGCATTCCAGACGGCCGCAGAAGTTAAATCTGAAATCGCACACGATGAAGTGACCGTCTTTGTTCGAGAGCTGGCCACGTTACGCATCGAAGTACAGCTCTTTGTGAATCCACTGCTTTGTGAAAGCCTCCCCCACACTGTTGTGGTCATGGAGGTTTGTGTGACCGGTTAACACAGGCTGGTGACGGAAAGTCTGAGGACTGGATCAGATATCACTCAAGGCTGATGTTAGCCAGGGCGAGGGATCAAACTCAGATTTCCGGGTTCACAGCACTGTGCCCCAAACTGCTCCCCCCCCCATACACACATCTAAACAGGTAATTATTTCAATGATCCGAGAGGAGTGAATCGCCGAATCCACCACCCCTAGCTGGAATTTGAACTCGAAACATTACACGTTTGAGCATGCTAACCACCGCACCGATTGGCCAGATGAAGGTTTGGATAAAACGTGTAACGTAATAGAAATACATCAGCACATTGCGCCCAAAAATATGTTGACATTGCAATATTTTTTCCCCCCCCAATATACTGTTACTGGTAACAATTAATGTTAACAAAGAAGTGTCTCCCAAAAACAAAAGACTGCTTCTTCTTCTTTCGTATGGCTGATGTAGATGCTGAGCAACAACACAAATTTCACATTCGAGTTGGTCAAGCCAGATAACTGCGTCAGGAGTAGCGGAGTGTATCGCTGTGATGTCTCCTTCGTATTTGTGGACCAAGCATTGTGTCGTTCTATGCTGTACGGTCTGTTCGGGATAATCAGTCACACAATGGAGAGTTTTCAATTTTACCACTAAAAACATTCAAGAAACTTTGACCCACACAGGCAATCTACATGCCTCAAAGAGCCATCATAGTGACGCATTTTCTTATGCAACAGGACTCTTAAAGACGCACGTGTGCCGCTGAATACGTAAACAATCCGCACCGCAGCCAATCTTATCATAACGAGCCGAGGAAGTAACCCAAGCAGCCATCCACCCAGAGAGTTTGGTTTAATCAGTACGCTCAACGCTTGCGCGCCTCGCCCCGAGACGATATCTGGGCTTGCCAAGACACCCATCTTATTGATTGCTCGCACGCGTGCACGCTTGCTCGTGAGCATCGCTAATGCGTTTTTGAGGAAATGGAGCGAAATCTTAACGGCGCCTGCTGCCGTTGCTTTGCTTGCTTTCTTTTTTTTGTTTTGCGAGAGCTTTCCAAAAATCTCGGTTGAACGACAGGCACGAGGCTCCTGGGCTCTGTTACGAGAAGCATCGTGGGGGGAGGGGGGGGGGGTGAGCAGTGAGAGCGTAGCTTGGGAGAGCAGAGGAGTTTGTGTATTTGAATCTCAAAGTGTGCACAACGCAAAGGGGCTGCGAGAGGAATGTCAAAGAGATGCATTGCATAAGAAGGGCGAGATAGAGCACGGGTTGTTCGTGGCTCGGAACTGCACGGCAAGATTGGTTAAGCAACTTCCAACGAAATGTTGACAGCAAATTACGCCGGACGTAGGGGAGCGGCGGTGCAGTGGTTTGTATGCACACTGCGTTACGCACCCAGCGTCTCGGGTTGAATTTCCAGCCACGGCTAACACCAGTGGCGAGTGATATTTAAACCGGTTCTGTGCCCACCTCCACAAACCCGCACTAGATAAAAAGTGTGGCCAAAGCAACCACCATGACTGAAACGATGTGGGGGGGGGGGGGGTGGAGGGGGGGGTGGGGGTGAGTGGCCTTCATCCAGCAGTGGATTAACAAGGGGCTATATAGTCAGGAACAGGAGGTTGTGATTGGCTGGGGCCACGTGTGCAGTCTGGAGGAGGAGGAGGGCAGGTTACAGAAACCCAAAGTTCGAAAAAGCCAGACGGTGTGATAGTGCATGAGAGAAGAATGAAGGTCGTGTCAACCGTGTAACCGTGCAGGGAGAGGTGGTGGCACGTCTGGTACTCGACAAGCTGCATTGGCTTCCGGTTGACGAACGAACGCATTATAAGGTCACACTCATTACACACATATTGCTTTCCACAAATGAACCACAATACTTCGCTGGTGTTGTCAAGGAGCATAAACCATCACACGTGCGAACTCCGGCCATCTTCGCAGCGCAGCTTTTGGCTGGCCATCGGAGAAAGACGGCCACTGCATCGCACGCTTTCAGATGCGCTTCTGCGGCCGTCTCGAACGCTCTCCCTTCCGATATTGGGAATCCACTGGAGCTATGCACTTTTAAATTATTTAGATTGAAAACCCATTTCTTTTGAACTGTTTTTTTGTGTTTAGTTTGTTGTCCTTCCCCCGCGCCTCGAATTAGCATGGTTGGTTTCATACGATGCGAAATAATCTCAACATACATACACATATACATACAATTGAGCACATTGCCCTACAATGTCAGTGAGGTGAAGGTTTCATCTCCGAATGCGCACAATAGTGGCAATTGTTCTTGAATAATTTAATGATTGCTAATTCCAACTGTGACAGTTAATCACTAACATTGATATCATGGCCAAGCTACTTGCATTTGTTTGCGTATATAAGTGATGTGAATAAAAACACTTAACTTGAGAGAGTAACTGTACATCCAACAACAACAAACGCAAATTTACTTTGCTGCGTCTGTAAACTTTTTAGTTTTCAGCGTTCATAAAATCTGGTGAAATGTCATCTTACCGATCGGAGCCTTTGCGTCGCAAGGCATTAGAATCCATGTCGTGTTTCCCACTTTAGTTGACGGATCAAGAGTGGTCTTATTGGCCTGAGCACAGGAAACATTGAAGAAAACAATTGCGTGAATTCAATGCTTTACATGTAAAAAAAACACTCAGGGATGAATGTGGCTCGGCCAACAGTTGAAATATAAGCAATGCACAATAACAGTTATTCTGAAATAAAAATGAAAAAATAAGAGTCAGGTGAATTACACATTTACAACCATCTTTCAGTTTTATTTGCTCACGGTCAAGCGAAGCCAAGCATTATTTTATTTTGCACTTTTCCACATCAAACACCAGCACATGTATGTTACAAGGCACACTGCCAAACAGCACTTTAAAGAAATGATTTTTCACAATCTAAGAAAACAGGAGGCAAACCCACCTACACGACATTTACCGAATTGCGTGACAACACAGAGTGACGGCGTTAATACGACGTCGACCAACGTGGTGTGGCACTTTGTACTGGCCCTGACACACAATGCTGTGCCGGCTTCGGTAGTTGCCGCTTAAGGATTAAAGCACTTTGCTGTGGCAGTCTGCAAGACGAAAGGAGGCTGCTTTTGTAGCCCTGAATCAGACTGTACGCAGTAGCGTAAAAGTGTTCTCGTGTACGTTGGACATGAATAATAATCCATCTATAAGGGGTGACTTTAATGTTACAGGAAGCTGTATAAGTTTCATAAAAGTCCCAACTTTTTGCACATATCGCATGAGTGTCAAAAAGCCTATTCATCCATTCTAATTAAATGCAAAGGGCTGCACACCAAGCGAGTTTTCAGCAATATACCTGCAATATAACTCACGACGGCTTCTGAGCAAGGCTTTACATATATATACACACACACACACGATGCGAATCAGTCTGAGCCAGGGAACTAAATTTTATATTTATTAGAATGGCATCTGCTTGAAAATTACCATTATAATGTGAGTGATGTCAAAGGTGCTGTTGGACTCATTTTGCTGCTAGGTGCGATATGAATGGACCAATTATTCTTGGTCCAACGACTTCGGGTTAATGGTACAGCACAGACGAAAGGCACACGGTTACTGTCCCGCGATGATCATGTCTCCTTAAATAACATTTTCGATTTAGCAGTCCTCCCTCAAAACAGCAAGATGAAAAAATTCGGCTACTAAGGCGTTGTGCGCTAATGTTAGAAAAATTACTACAGAGTTCAAGGTCACATTCTGTGATAAATGTTGCTTAGGGCAGTGGCATTATTAGGTTTTTTTTTCAGATTCCATAGAAACTTTGCCACGTGTGTTTTCCTTCCCTGCGGCTGAGCAGCTTGTACTTTCCATGACTTGGAAAGGACTTGATTGTGACCATAATTTGATTGCATAGAAAAAGCATTTGCTGAATATTGGGAAAGATCGACGTGGTTATTATTACAACAAAAAGTATCACAACAATGGGCGAAATCGAACTTCTATTTGCTTTTTCATTGAATAGTGTCATACGACTTTAGCGGACATATTTCTTAACTCGTTTTGATAGCATATACACCAGAAAAGGTGTCAGGCTCCAGAGAAAATCCTGGTTGAGTTGACCTGCACTTTAAAACTGAGATCTAGTACAAAACGAATCGAATAAATCACGACTTTTCGGGGGCGCAACACAAGTGTCCGTCATCAGGTGGGAAAGCGATGGTCCTGCTGCTGAGGCAGACTGATTTATTTTATTTTATACCCACGTGACTTGACCGAACGAACCAAAGAGTATGGATTCCCTGCAGTCACGAAAGCTTCAAATCATGATTAAAACTAATCGAGTTGATGATTACAAAACAAATGTGAGAACTGCAATTTAAATGTCTGCCCTTAAAATATGTGAGACAAAATACTAATGATTGTACGTATATAATTCGGCAGTAATACGTTATATCATTTTGAGGAAGTGTTAAAGTGATTACAGAAATAATGACATGCAGATGTTAATGGTAAATCCTTATATAGACATTAACGGTCCTTCCCTTTAACAGATCTTCCAACTAACTACTCAAGCTGACAGATTACACAGACATCCGAGACAACGTCAATGGCTGGCAAAGTTAGGTACTGCAACCAACACATTAATGTCTACGGTGGCCTACACTGAGTGAAATGTAAACGACCACTGTCCCTGTGGCTCGCAAGCGCATAGTATTGTATATTGAATTAACTATAGCACAATTGCATATCGTATATACGACATAGTGTTATAGTTAATCTATGCAGGATCGTGTCTTTCTTCACGCAAATGTTCCATTTTACACACACACACAACAGCAGGATGCCAATGGACAATACATAAAACAAAGCATCTCAAAATACAGATTTATTCAAGTGAAGGAAGAGCAATACTGCACATTAAGTGCAATATAGCACATCAACCCATTCGGCTTTTTTTATTTTGCTGTAGAATTCTACCAAGGCCATTAATGATACACAAACCTTCATGAGTGTCATATCATTGTAAATAAAATAAAAAAATAAAATAAAAAATGCCCCCGACACTGAACGCTAATGAAAGGATCCTTTAATAGCGGCGCAGAATTCAATGAATCTATCAAAGAGTGTTTTCTTGACAAGTCATCAATGGTAACGCAACATTTATCTTCCATTGTCAAATCCAATCCACTGAAATCGACCAACAACAGCTTTAGATAGAATCAATTACGTTCACCAATTAACCAAGTTTCCATTAACGCTGTTTAAGGGGACCACATTCATCAGCTGCAGTCAAGTAACGTCTGCTGAGGAGCATTACAAGCATGATCTTGTGTCGGAAAAACATATTCGGAAGTATTTGTTCGTTAAAAAAAACCCCAATAAAACTAATGCACCACTGTTCCTACTTTTGTATATAATTGTTTATTAAAACATGTTTGGTTTTGAAATGACTTTGCCCTCCGAGCAATGGGTTATTTACCATTTTGGGTTTTTTTAAGATAAGATGCGCGGCTAAGTGAGCAGTTGCACGTCCTGCGACAACACTGACAAACACAGCTGTAACGTTCACCGTCTTCATCAGCCCGGGGCCAATTTGTATTTGTAAAAAATACACAGATGTGAGAGAATCAATATTTTTCTTCCAAATGATGTCTATTTTGATCTCTTCTTCTGTATCAAATTCAAATAATATTTTGTTCACCAGCATCAATTTGACTGAACAAGTTACTAAGCGGCGTACACAGTAAACTCACGGTGCCCCTTCCCCCGACGTTCAGGTGTAATTTGGCGAATTACATCACAATTTGGGGTCAAGATCAAATTCAAGAATAATATAAGGAGCATAAACCACCATGCAAACTCCGGTCATCTACCTAGTTGCTTTTGGCTCGCCACCGACCAAAGATAAATACGGTCACTGCACTCTATGCATGGATGTTATGAAGGTAGCCAACCGCATGACCTGAAGCCTCATTAAGCTGGACCCTCCACCACCCTGCCATTTTTTACCTCATCAAACGATGAGCAGGTTTCTAAATGTTTGAAACACTGTAGGATTAGCATGGCCAAATATTTCAGTCATGTTTTCACCCTAGGTCAAAGGTTGTAGCTCGACATGAATACCACAGGTGCCTGGTTCGATCCAGTGGGAACGGGCTTTCTGTACGATGAATAATAATTACGTGCTGTGACTGACAGATTCATGGACGGGCAAAGGAAGTTTCGACTAATGTAGATACGTTTGGGTGGCATCTATTAAGTCAAAGTGTCTCCCTGTTCAAATGGGCACTGTGCATCACTCGCCCCCTTCAGTGACCCTGAGCAAGTGGCGGGGATATTTTACATTTCGATTTAAAGCTTTCGTGACTGCAAGGATTCATCTTCTTTGGTTCTTTCGGTAAAGTCACGTAGAATGAGAATAAAATAATAAATTGATAAAATAAAAGAACACAATAAAATTCTCACGACGTTTTGGCCACAACACAAGCGGCCTTCATCAGGTGAAGGGACGAGACTGTCTCCAGACTGTCCTCCAGACAGTCTCGTCCCTTCACCTGATGAAGGCCGCTTGTGGTGTGGCCGAAACGTCGTGAGAATTTTATTGCGTTATTTTATTTTATCAATTTTATTATTTTATTCTCATTCTACGTGACTTTACCGAAAGAACCAAAGAAGATATATTACATTCCTATGGTGGGGGCCAGTCCGCCCAAGGTACAAAACGCTGCCGGCCATCGACAACACGGCAGTTATCTTATTGATCGCAGAAGGACGAACAACCGACTCGAATCGACCCCCGAGCGTGATTCTAAGTTGCAGCCTTCAGATGTGAGGAGAGCACTCTCCCCTCCAGAGTCGCTCCGCCAAATCCATGTCCGGAAACTTTACACGTGGATGACCGATTGGTAATCGTAGTTTTTTTTTTTAAACAAAGTGCTTCGTTAGAAATGTGTTTAAGCTGTCCATCGGTTTGTGATGAACGTTCCACAACGCACTGTAGACAGCAGGGATTGCACAAACTCGCAATGATGATTTTGTTTGTAACTCTCAAAGACACCATATTCTTGGTTCTTTCGGTAAAGTCACGTAGAAGGAAGAACCAAGAATATGAATCCCTGCAGACACGAAAGCTTTAAATCTCAAAGACACCGTCGTGAATTTCAATCAACCGTCGGTCGAGTGCTTATTTTTCTCTGGGCAGTATTGTCGTAGTAGCCTCAACCTGCATGGTCGAAAAGGCGATAAATAAATAATTGAACGCGAACACAGGTCCAGCGTGTTGGTTGTTTTGATGAACGTTGTTGAGATATACACTCGGGGTACGAGAATACAACTGTGCTAAGCTTCTGTAGACAAAACCAAAACAATGAATGGCTCATGTTTTCGCAATGGTTTGTTGTTGTAACGTTCTGACCTGCCCCGACTGGACATCTGTGGAAAAGAGCTTTATAGCTCATCGGATTCCTCTAGTACGAATACCGATTTTGATTCTGTATAATTGTTAAGTCTGCTATCCGTTCTTCTTCGGAATGGCGACTCGTCTTGAGTATGCTGACATCTCATCGATGTTGTGTTGCGCAGCAGTCTTCGAGGATACATTTATCATGCAGCACAACAGGGAAATTCTGCACAAGGATACGTTTGCATTGCTTTGTGTTGGCTGCATAGTATGTGCCTCAAGTATATGCAAGCATAGATTTCTGAGGAGATTTTGTTTTTGTTATGTTATGCAAAGCCCTTCATTGAGATTCTAAATGAAGTGCATTTTTATTAAGGTCAATCGATAGACGAGTGTTCTTGATTCATGCAAATTGCTCATTTTTCAAGGTCTGAGCAACAAATGTTCGTCCTCATTATCGACAACCATCATCTATCCACTGCGGGATGAGGACTTCCACAGATTGTCGCCATCGTGCGATGCCATAAAACGTCTTGCTCCTTGTGCATGAGCTGAACCCGTCACTCCATCTCCACTGCGGTCGTCCTCCCGTGTGGGATCTCGCGTTTGGCTGCCATTCCCTCACCGCTTTCATGCATCGCGGTGTGTCCTGTTACCAAGTTCATTTACTTTCATGAATTGTCAACAAGAATGTCTCCGATTTACGTTTGATTCTCTGTCTCAGAGTCATTTAAAGAAACTAAACAATAACTTTTTCTGTGTTTTACCAGGTGAGGCCCATTGAGCTATATAGCTCTTTTTCAGAAGCGACATGGCCACAAATGATAGCCCAGTGAAAAGGCGTATCACGTGTAACTTTAGAGGAGCCAAATACAGTACAACCTTGGATTGCGAGTAACTTGGTCTGCGAGTGTTTTGCAAGACGAGCAAAAAATTTAAATATTAATTTAATAAACGAGCGAGGGTCTTGCAATACGAGCAGCACGTGTACACGCTTTGTCTGCCGAGCGTCACGTGATCACAACTGATATACGAGTGCTTTGATATACGAGTTCTTTGGATTACAAACACGTTGCCGGAACGAATTATGCTCGCAATCCACGGTTTTACTGTACTCTAAACTCACATTGCTTCTAAATGTGGAGGCAAAAACCGGAGGACCTAGAGAAAAATCAACGCGACAGCGGGGAGAACACACAAACTCCAAATAGCAGGCGTCAGGGTCGGGATCGAACCCACGACCTCCTGTATACCAGGCGAAGCAGTTAACACCTCGCCACTGTGGGACCATCTCTGAAAACTTCTCCCATTATCTTGCTCAGTGTCCATGCGTCTGATCCACAGCAGCTAACACGCACTGATTGAAAACGTTCTTTGTTCACATTGGTATGTTCTTATTCATTATCGTGGTTAACTTTTAAAAGGACACTCACTTCTGTTCTTGTTCTCATCTTCAGTTAATTATTTTGTTCCCGGTCTGCCTTCATTAACTGCCCAAGGTACATGTAAGTCTGCTGTGTTTTCAAGTTGTGCCCCTCCATCATTTAATTTCTATTTTGTTCAGCAAAACGTGATGTTCCCTTATTTTTGTTGTTTGCTCACATTTATCCAAATTTAAACTTTGCCAACCTTGTGCATGAAGTTCCTGAATAACTTCTCATACTTAATTTTCGCGACCGGTTTAAAAGGGATTCGCGGATCAAAGATGGCTAAACCTCCGAACGAATATCAGACCTACTTTTTAAATATTTACACGGAAATGAAAAACCTCAATCATGGAATGATGCTGTCATCACTCTTTTTCTCAAAAAGAGACCCAAGACTGTTGCTCAGAATTACAGGCCGACAAGCCTCCTATCACATGTATATAAATTGTTTACAAAGATCTACGAAACCCCAAAAATTTACGTTTTAGAGACCAAACAACAATTCCAGAAAGCTGATTGAAGGAATAACTTTTCCACTCAACACCACATGCAGACTATTAATCAAATCCTAGAAATGACATATGAATATCAATTGCTGCTATGATTGGTTTTGATCGATTATGAAATAGCATTGGATTCTGTAGGAGTTGTAGCAGTCATCCATGTTCTCACAAACCAAGGCATTAATAACAACATATATACAGACATCGTGACAACCGATTTCAAAGAAGCAACTGCACCGTTAACATCGCATGAATATAGACGAGGCAGGCAACTTTGAAAATAACCTCCTACACATGGGAATGCATTTGGGACCTCTAATCCCAGAGATATATATGTATACATTATTTTATTACGATCATAGGGAATTGAGTAACAACACTTACCAAGTAATAATTAATCTTTCAGGACAATTTATATTATTCTTTAGAACAATGCGCAATGAATGCAAGTAATGTCTCTCTCAGAAAAGATGGCACACTTTAGTAATCCTCCTATGAATTACTGGGCAGATCCAAGAACTGAAACTGCTAAGTTCGAGCAGGCCGCCCTGGCTTCGGGCTCTTCAGCTGTCCAATTTCACGAGACAATCGACACGTGCCTCGTTCAGCCATCTCAGGGAAGTTACTGCATTCCCACCGGCGGTGAATTTGGGGCGGCGGGCATTGCCGCACCATTCCCAAGAAAAGTGTGGATCCCATAATGCCGCTTCTCAAGGCACACACACTTGCCGAAGGAACAGAAAGCAACTCTGGTGTCGTTAATTTGATTAAGGGGGATTCACGCTGCGAAACGCTCGCCCATGTGAATGGTGCCTAGGAAACGCACAGTCGCATCGCAATGAGAAAACATGTTTAATTTATTAGCGTTCAGTACAGCAGAGGAAAAATGATGCAAAGAGAGAGTTGCGTCAAACCTGGACACATTGCTTATTCATTCACGGTTAAGTCTGTGAGCCGTACACAGATAAGGCAGCTCAACGCATTCCCGAGAATGGAATTGTGCTGTTCAATGCCATTTAACCAAGCAGCTATGTGCGCTATATACCAGGGCAACGGTGCAGCACATTTGAATGTTTGGGTTCGCAAAAAGCTTTCCAGATAAAGAGTTAAATTTTGGGTGCACTGCTGCCTGTTGGGCAGAATATGTGGTGTGACTGACGTCTCAGGTATAGCTAATTTTCTGGTATGCACCTACCCGAGGTCTTCTCATTTGCATTGCTTATGTTGCCACGTCGATTAAAAGACGACGAGATCCAAAGTGCAAAGTGGACGTTGTGTTATTGCACTATCAAATCAAGACTGATCCACGGCAGTGTGGACATCTGATTCCGCTTCTGCTGACTCGGCTCTACAGGCCAGTGTGCCACCGCCATGGCTTTCAAATTCCTCCTTGCGCGCTGGGCCACACAGAATTGTCTTATGGAAGTTGTTGTTGGCTTGCACCACATTGTGATTTTTGCACACAGCGTTTCAATAAGTTTTTTTGTTGTGTGGAATATTTGCTGGTTTATTCCAGGATGCTTCTGTTGCGCGTCGTCGCTTTGGGATGTTATGTCTTCATATTGTTTGTTGCGGTTGCACCCGACTTAAGAGCCGCATGGCTCACAGGGCTACACCTAACAAATGAAACTTGAAACTTGAAACTCCGGGAATGCTATGAAACGATTCAAACCATTTTTGTGTTTTACCAGGTAAGGCCCACTGAGTTATGCAGCTCTTTTTTCAGAAGCGACCTGGCCACAAGTGAAAGCTCATGGAAGTGGCTTGTCACGTGGACATTCATAGCAGCCAATTACTCGATTCTAAATGTAGAGGGAAAAACCGGAGGACCCGAAGAAAAATCCACACGGCCACAAGGAGAACAGGCGTCAGGGTCTGGATCGAACCCACAAACACCTGTATACCAGGCGAGGCAGTTAACACTTTGCCACTGCGGCATTCCACAATGTCCCATGCATTATGACAGAGCTAGAGGTTAGAAGGTTCCCACCTTGAAGAGCGTGACGAGGGCATCCTGGCGTGGCTGTAACGTCACACGAGTGGACTGTTGCAGCGCGTTTGAAAGTGACGCGGCTGTGAATTGCGATTCTCTTTTCCCATTAACAAAGCTTTACACTATTCTTTGCTTCTTTCGGTGAAGTCACGTAGATAGCAACATAATAATAAAGTGAATACAAATTTAAACAAATAAAATAAAATAAAAACTACGACGTTTCGATCGCAACACAAGCGGTCGTCATGAGGAAATGGGGGGGGGGGGGGGGGTTTAGCCTCTAAAGGCAAACTGTTTATGAAGGTTTAAAAAAATGAAGCACAAATTTTAAGCTTCACACTCTTGTGAGATGGGCCCAGGACACACACAGCCGAGGTGTGATCAAAAAGATAGGAACAGTGTGTGTTTGGGGGCTGTTTGTTCCTTGGAACCGAGACTCGGCTAAGGCCGATGATTCTGCACGCCCCCTGAAACTAAATTGAAGGTCATGCGCTGAAGACACAGACGATGGACACCTTCGCAAGCAACCAAAAATGTGCACAATCTGCCGCTTTCCCCGTGTGCTGTCACCCATAAATGTTGGAGATAATTGAAATATGTTTTCATGGACTAGCCGTGACGCAATGCACTCAATAAAATGTGAACACACGAGACCTGAATATATAGCAACATTCATTTCACTGCCATTTTTTTGATCAGTTTAGATTCGAGAGCGATGACGGAGGCCTCGACGATAATGACGATGAGAATTTTGAGCGAGAATGCCGATGCTCAAACGTTTGCAAACGCGATGAGATTGACGACCGAAGTGATTATCCTGACCGGTGTGACGACGATGACGGATTGCGTATTGTGATGCACACTCATCTCGCGTTTTAGTTTCGTGTGCAATGCTCTGTCAACTCACCAGGTACTTCTGATTGCCGTACATGACATAGTCCGGTGCTAGGCTGTATATCACGTAGTTGACATGCATCACGATGAGCATGAGAATGAGGCAGAGGAAGAGAAGTGCCTGGGGCCGCGTCCTCCCAGTCCGGATATTATACAGCTGGTTAACACACGCACAGAATCACCGTGTTACACAGGCACACGTTACAAACATACACACATGCAGGCTGTGGGGTAGAGGTAAGTGCTGTTAGCTAGCAGTTGTTACAGCCAGCACGTCACACGAGAAGGTGGTCTGGCCAGCGTCCGAGTTACCTTTATCTCCCGATTGCTGATGTTTACACACCATACCAGTTGGTCACTCATGTAAGGCTGAGTAAGAGGTCCAGCACAGGTACAGAGAGCATTTGTCACTTGAGTTGCGCATGGTTGGAAATCGATCCAATGCTTGTCTGGACAATAGCGCAATGCAATAATTAATTTGCCACCGTACCCCATAAAGCCACATGAGCATGGCACGTGTAAACAATGCAATGTAAATATATTATTGTCGAAAACATTTAACCTATCGATGCAGAACAACGCAATGATATAAATAGCTTATCATTACAATGCACATGACAAAGAGAGCCGCGACCCTCACCAGGACCAGCAGATTGAGAAGCGAACCAACGACAACGAGAACACAAATAAAACAATAATTGTACCCTCATTCCTGTTCCTACATACATCGTTTAATTTAAAAGTAACAAACTCAAAATTACATTCCATAAACTTCAATGTACATGTTAGTTTAAAAATGTAAATCCTCAATAAATAAAGTGTAATAAGTTTGATCTTTAAAATATTTATAAATGTTCTTAATTACTTCGTGAAATATTTCAAGTGCCATTTTCTGCATTTTGCATCCGCAATGAAATTATATGCTTTGACATGATGATTAACAGCCGGGTCTCTATAAAAAAAGATACTTCTACTCTTAATAGACTCTTACCTGGTCATCACGACTATTTTCTATACATGTATCCCCCCCTTGTCCTTATCATACGTCATGAACCCAAAGACACAACTTGTTAGCAAGACAGCTGCAACATACTGTACATTATTTTCTTCGATTTTTTTTCTCCCCACATGTGGAGTGTGGGCGGCAGTCCGAGGAGGCTGTGATTTATCAGCCGTGGTCGGTCAACTCCAGTATGACTCAGGTCATTACATGCCCCCCCTCTCACAGCAGCACCAGATTAAGGTCGCCATGGGCCCTAAGCCAGGAATCATATCTCAGGTCCCCGTCCGATGTCTTTCCATCACCTTCCCACCTTGGAAACCCTTTGCAGAGACCCCCGGGAGGCTAGGTAGGACGTCATTACAATCAACAGGGCACCGATGAGTGGGCGTCAATGGAATCGCACATTCGTCCAGAGTCCATCATGGCCAGCAATGGGTGAAGCCTGAGAGCTGTGCTGTTTGACATCTCCTCGACAGCTTTAAGAGCAGGGCATTAATTAACCCTGCCTAAATCCGATTTGTTGATGTGAAATGCCAGGACATGATAGCTTAGACCACTTCATGGCAACGCACCTCGCCGTTACTTCCTGGCTACTGGAAGATCCTGTAACTGATATGCAAGCAACTTATAAGAAACAAGGTCTTCTCTGACAGTTTCCCAGCATCTGGCTTTAGGTCTCCCCTTGGTTTTGATCTCTGGCACCACTTCAATGGCTGTTTCGGTAACGTGTGCTCCTAAGTCCTGCGTACATGCCCACCGTCACAACCTGGCCTTGGTGAGTATGCAATGCTTTCCTGCCACTCTCTACGCTGGACTCAAGCTGTGTACTCAGCCTGCCATCAAAGAACGAGAACCCTCCACTTGCACCTAAATGGGCACCATGGTGGCGAGATGTAAACTACCTCGCCTGGTATACAGGAGGTTGTGGGTTCGATCCCGACCCTGAAGTCTGTATATTTGGAGTTTGTTCTCTATCCCCGTGGTAGCATGGATTTTTCTCCATGGCCTCTGGTTTTTCCTCCACATTTAGAATCAACGACCGTTTAGAGTATTTGGCTACTATAAATTTCCACATGGTAAGCCAATTCATTGAGCTATCATTTGTGGCCAGGTGGCTTCTAAAAAAAGGTGTATAACTCTGTGAGCCTTAACCGGTAAAATGAAAAAATAGTATGGTTTTTATTTTCAAATTCCAAAGCTACTGCCATTCATATTTCCATTCCTACCAATCGACTGAACATACATAGTCAAGAGACCTACTCAATAAAAACTAAAATTAGTTGATTGGCTTACCAGACCAATATTATCCAGCAGCATATTTTTAAACAAGCAAAATCTAGAGCAGTGCCAGGCTTGTAAAAACAAATTCTGCAGGTTAACATAAGTGCTGAGGACAAATAGGCCGATAAGACGAAAACAAATATTCGTTTCGATTTAAAGCTTTCGTGACTGCAAGGATTCATCTTCTTTGGTTCTTTCGGTAAAGTCACGCAGAATGAGAATAAAATAATAAATTGATAAAATAAAATAACACAATAAAATTCTCACGACGTTTCGGCCACAACACAACACAAGTGGCCGAAACGTCGTGATAATTTTATTGTGTTATTTTATTTTATCAATTTATTATTTTATTCTCATTCTACGTGACTTTACCGAGAGAACCAAAGAAGAGAAAACAAATATTCGCATTGTGGCCGAACAAGCGGTCTCCATTTTTAGAAATGCATTATTTAGCCACTAATTGTTTATATCTACTACCCAGTGCACAGTGAGTGTTTTGTTCAATGCACTTGCAACTTTGCAATGCACACTGCACATGGGCACACCTGAGAATCTCGATAGGGGTCAAGAACGCCTGTCCCAGAGGCCAGGGTTCCAGTGGTAAATGCCCTACGGCGCGCGCTGTCTGTAGAGCTGCGCGAATGCTGAGCCACGTTGTGACTTGGAAATTAGTTTCAGGAGACCAGGTTGTTTGCCACAGCATGGGCACAGCAGGGAGTATGTGCAGCCCCCGTCGCAGCCAATAAGAGAGGCAGCCTTTTATAATTTATTTAATATGTCCACAGCTCCCAGAGAGTGAAGTGTAGCGATATCTTTGCCAAATGTCACGCTCTGTCTCAAATGTGTTTTCTTTGCACGTTGTAGCTTGATGATGAAATTCAATTATGTACCACACTGTATATTTTCTCCACGTGAAGAATACGTTTTCTGTTTAAAAAAAAAATGTTGAATCAAGATATATGTCTTATGCTGCACAGCAGATGCCAATGGTTTGCCAGCCCAGTGTGGGGCCAATTCTAGAATGCCACGCTCAATAACATTAAAGTCTCTTGATGATGTCATTTTCACACAGTATTCCCTCGTTATTTACGAACTTGCTATCTGCAAATCACATCTGGAACTCTACACGACTGCATCATGTGATAAAGTGATGGGATAAAAAAAAGGTTTTCGCAGGCCAATATCATTATCCGCGAAATGTGCTATTCACAAGCATCTCCGGAACGTATTCCTCGTGAATAATGGAGGGAATACTTAAAGATACAAATCCATACAAACTGAGAGATGCCAAGGTGGTTAAGGGGCATAATGCCTAGACCAGGACACCAAGTTGCCAATATGAAGATGCTTGGTGTGAAGCTGCATCTCAGCTGCACATGACTAAACTAGGGTTCCATTAGAATGAGTTGATGGGTCTCAGTCCAATTACCATGACAACACACACAATATACCTGTGATGTAAACCTTGTTTCATTCACCTTCGTTCAGCATTGACAGATACAATTATGTATATATATAACGGATGATTTGAAAGCAAGAAAGGGCACCACTTAAGTGTTGGGTGAGAGAGGCCGACTGAAGTGACTCCAGTAGTAGGTCTGAGGTATCAACTTCTGTGGGCCATTTCATGACATGCTGCCTGGTTATACGAGTTCCAGAGAAACATTTCTTCATTCTGTTTGCACGACTCGAACAACAAACACATTTAGGATACAGTTGGCTGTAAAACTAACATAATGAGAAACACATTTGCCGTGATCTATAAACGAGCCCTGAATACAATTGTCCTGGTCTCCTTGAACTAAGTTTCAAACCGCTCATCCTGAAAAAGTGGCATTACGTCCCCACACATTTCCACATAAATGGCTTACGGTCAGGGAAAGTGAATTATTCAAGTGTGGCTTAACCTATAGTTCAACTCTTCCCAAGCTGTAGCATCGGCCTACGTTTCACATTTTGTCAAGCCAGATTAATCTTGCAGCTAGTCACTCAGGTCCAAACTATTAGGGTAAGAGCCTGCTTTGTAAAAAAAAGTGAAAAATAATTTGCATTCCTTATAAGAAATGTACATCGCATTTAAACTTTTTAACGATTATCGCCGTATACTAAAAGCAGCTGTTTATCCCAAAGGTGATTTTGAGGAATATTGTTCTCTGGAGAACACACTCCATTATCCATCGGCTACACTTGAGTAGAGCTCAAATATGTTCCAGTGTAGGATTTTAATTTCAAATTAACAGATGTGCTCTGGCAACTGTTTATGCAGCGAAAGTGTTCAGTACTATTTATCGCTTCCAATTGCCGTGACAGTTTTCACAAATTGTTAACATTTGTCATTATTATTTCTAGTAATTCTAGGCACCATAATTATGCAAGATCACACCATTAAGTCACACGGCAGGGCCTCAATGAATGTTAACAAAGCACTGTATTTGTTATTTGTTATTATCCTTGCGTGCTATGATGTTTAATGCATCTATGAAACGCAGTGAACAATCAATCGAAAGACGTTTGCAATTTCCATCATCCCAGCCTATATTCATACATTTCCCCTGAACACTTTTGCATTATTTCAATCAAGAACTTAAGCAATCAGTTGCCTTCATGTAAAAACAAATGCATATCAATCATAATGAAATCATTTTTTAAAGGTATTTCTGGTGCAGCAATGTCATCAAGAAAAGTTCACAATGCAAACTTCAATGTATAAAAAACAATTGTAGATAGATACCGTGCAGAATCATTACAATCAAATCCAGTGCAAAGCAATTCATACTTAAATACAATGTACAAGACAATACATCAGCATTCATCTGGTTGAGTGGCATTGTGGTTGGAAGGGTTGTCTCAGGATCAGAAGGTTAAGAGTT